AGGAGAGTGGTTAGAGCTCATTTGTGGTGTGGCCACGGCGTGTGCAGGTGTGCTCGGGCTCAGCTTACACAGAGCCACTTTGCTCTTGCTGAACCTGGGCTGCAAACCCCTCAAGGATTTGATCCCTTTAATGGCTGGTTTTGCTTAATGCAGGTTGCTGTCATTGCTTGTGCCCTACACCTCTAAGCATATTAGCTTAAATTCAGCTTAAGGTCTGTACATGCTGCAAGCAGCCTTTGACTGCAGTGGCAGCACACCTTATATTTCATAGAAAGGTTCCAAGCTCTGGTCCTTTGCCACCCCATAAATTCTTTAAAACCACAATGTGCTGAACATCAAAACATAGTGAAAAGTTTTTCTTTTTTATTTTCTCTGACCTTTTCTGAGACAGTGTTTTCTGTTAAATGATGCACTACCTATCCCCATTTTCAAAGCTCAGAGGATTTCAGTTTTAGAACACATTTAAAATGCATATTTCATTTTTTTGTTGTTGTTGCTGATGCATATGTACCCACAGCTAACAACAAATAAATAAAAAAATCATGGAGTGAAATCTAATTGAAAAAGTGCCTAGAGTTAAAAACACATTGTTCCCTAGTAGAAAGAAAAAGTTATGCATGATTTACCATTTCAGCTTACTGGGATTTAATTTTGAGGTTTAAGCAGATTTTTGTATATTTAGATGGTTGAAACTAATGACTGGTTTTGTTTTTATTTTCCTTTTTAAAAACATTTATACAATAATTTCCTACTGCAGAAAAGACTTATTAGATTACAAATTAACCAGCTGATGAAATCTTTTTCAGATCTTTCAAACACATAGCTCTGCTATTCTGCTGCTCCTTTAGCGTAGAACAGACTCCAACTTCTCTTCCCTGGTTTAGGAGACATCTCTGGTAGAATCATTCTGGACTCGAATGATTGCCTGCCCTTGTTAACCTTCATTTTCCTTTGGTGACAGTGTTCCCTTCACCTTCTTGCATATTGGGCTCTTGACCCCTGTATAACATGACTTTGATCACTTCATCCTTCCTATTGCCTGGCTTATCAGGGATTCATTAAGTGCAGGAGAACTTTGCTCCCTGTTTTTGCTGGAGGTGCAGAGGTCTGTTCCCATGATGTGTACTGCAAGTGGAGGAAACATCATTCTCGGTCTTGTGGTCAGAAAAGTTTAGCTGGATGTAGACACAGAGTTTAGACACTTGTTTAATCCTGGAAGACTGAAGTTTGACAATGTGGTAACATCTAGGGTTTGAAATGGCAAGATTCAGGTAATTTTAAAGGAAGGAATGGTCCCTCTGTGTGTCAGACTGAGTGCTGTCATCAGTTGTGCCTCCACTATCAAACTAAATTTCATTTCTTATTACATCAAGAGAATTTGAGAACACAGACTCTGCAAGGTGCTTGCGTCAAGAAACTTGGGCTTTGTTTAATCATGAAAGTCTAATTTAATTCCAAAGTTTGAACATCCATTCCTCAAAAGTATCTTTCTGGATAAATTTGACATTGTCTACATCCTTTATATGGCTTCAACTGTCTCCTAAATGGAAATGGTTGTACGAAAATGCCTGGCTCAGAGCTACTTCTTGTGTCCTCTCCTGATCCAAAGGCCTTAGAAGTCCTTTGGAAGGTCTCCCGTGACTGACATTTGTAATACTTAAATCGATGATATGTGTCAGACAGGAATTTGGTTCCAAACTTGACACATGAAATCCAATTTTGAAGTAGGTGGTTTTTCAGTTGGAAGATTTCTGTAGCTGAGATGATTGATGATGAGCAGGCTGAATGTCCTCATCTGATTAGGACATGATAAAATACATCAGTCAAAACCTCAAGGGGCTGGATTGGATGGTTCATAACATAACGAGATATTCTCAGTTAGAGAACACAGATGTTACAGGCAGTTGGCTCAGTTGACTAAATACAGTTATAGAGTCACAAATGTTCCTCCCAGATGGTTTGGATCTTCAGTATCAAAAATGCGTGTTATTTACATAATGCTAGAACCAAACAGGATTACATGCTCCACTCAAAATTCCTGATCACCTTTCTGTTCCTTGAGTGCTGAGGTTGCTTCTGTTAGAGCAGATGCTCATCCTGTAGTAGAAGGGTTTCCAAAGTATTCGTCATGGAGCACAAAAAACAGTTAAAAGAAAAATGAAATTAAAGTCAGCTGGCAATCAGTTGAGTTTAGAAAACTGAATTTCTTAATAGCTCAAACTTAATTCAAAGCAGTTAGTCTTTCAGGTAATTTCCACCAAGGAGATTGTTGCTGAATCTCAGGCAGAGCTTTGCCTGTTAACCACTGTGCATTCATTGTCAGCAATTTTTTAAGTATGAAGGTATGGACTTGATCCAACCCAGTCCTCAGTGCAATATATCACATGCTCATTTAGTATGTGCTTAATTGCTCTCTCCTAGATAGTGCTTTATGAAAGGGTCTTTTAAAGTTTCCAATATTGTCTTTATATTTTGCAAGATTAGACATGGAATGTGAATGCTCAATAAATATATCTCTGATTCCTTGGTCTTAAAGTAAGGAGTCAGACTGAACTGGCTTTAAAATTTACAGTGAAACTTACTTAAAGGTATTACTCTTTGGAAATAATAAATTACAGTTTCAACTAGAATGAAATATTTCTCTTTGTTTTGTACATAAGAGATGCGATTGTTTTCTGTGTGTATAAAAAAAACCACGACAGCATAAACTCTCTCCCAGACTTTGAAATAAATGCTGTTCAAATTAGTTGTTCAAATGCTGAGCTGTCCTCTTAAGTGAGAGAGAGAAGATGTAGTGTCACACTGTAAACTGTCCTGTTCAAGGGTTGACTCTCCCTTCGGGTTTGTGCAGTAGAAAGTGCAGCGTAAACTGTGTCACTGGGAGGAACTTAAACTACTGGGTGCAAAAATGGGGACTCCCAAGTTTGAATTCCAGGTCTTTAACTCCTTCCCTAGCCTTAATCTTGGTAAGGAATGGTGAATCTTTAAGTAAAATGGAAACAATGGAAGTAATGCATCTCTGCTTGACCAATACAACAGGATTTGGTCCTGCAAAAAACCGCCCTGCTGTTTTCTCCCTCTGATTTCACAAGAAGTTATAAAATCAGGGTTAATTCACTGAACCACACTGCAGGATAACTTAATGAAGTACACTATTAAACTACTCTATAGTAGGGTTTTTTTTTTAATGTAGATGTTGTTTCTGTGGGGTGGGACCTTCATTCAGTAGTCCATTGTCCCCAGTGCATTGTGTCATGAATGTTGTAAGGGACTTCCCAGTTTATTGGAGCAGTTGGCTGCTTAGAGTGCCTCACAGTCATATATCCTAAAGCAAATAAGTAGATATACATTTAGATGGAAATAAGAATAATAAACTACATCTCTGTCTTGTGTAAATGCAAAATACAGAAATCAAAATGGGAAAATTCCACTTCCCTCTGTGGCATTAGTCATCGTGAGAGCTTGAATGCAAATATAGAGCTTCAATTTATTAAGGATTTGGGGATCTGAAACACATTCCAATAGGATTTGAAAAGCATACAAGAACTGTGCCAAACAGATTACATCTAGAAATATCAGATGTGTGTTACCCTTCAAATGTTAGTTGGGAAAAGGGAAAGAAGATGCAAAAGAGGAAGAAACAGAGGTGCAAAAGAGATGAATGTTTTTCTGGTGTGGAAAACTCCAGAAACTCCAGTCTTTTACTGTTTGATAATATAATTAGCTAGTGTTTTGACTAGACTGATTTGATAATGATGCATAGAAAAGGGCAATTTAATCTTGGCGCAGTAACTAGGAATGTTTGCCTCATTGCTTTCTATGTCTTAATTTCTACTTTAAATTAAATGTCTTCAGCTTCTGAATGTTTTATATTAGAAACCTTCCTTTACAAACCTTCTATTTTGAGCCACTAATTAATTTAATGCACAAGTTAGATATATCATGGGATTGCAATAGATCAGGAACATATTTTTGTTCTCTTTCTGCATCTCTAAACTCTATTAAGATACAGCGCAAACCATTTGTGCATTGAGGAGGACATGCACATTTCTTATTCCCTCTCAGATGTTTCTATTAACTTTTTGATGGTCCTTGTGCTCTTATTCCCTAAATATTTGTACTTCCATTTATTTGTACTTCATGTATCTTGTGTGAAAAAAAATCAAACCACTGCACAAACACTTGCTTTAGAAAAATATGTCTGTTTACTGGAAAGGAAATTAACCCTTTATGCAAAAGGCATGTGCCTTGTGGTCTGTGTTACCCTCACTCAGAAGGGTGTTGTGACCGGAGTTGTTAATTCCGTGTTCAGTCAGTGAGCCTTCCTATAACTAACAAAATAACCACACTTATGTTACCTGGGGTGAGGGTTGTTAAGCGGTGGAGACTGCTGGACTCGAGGAAGCCACTCAGCTCCTGTTTGGTGGATGAGAGTGACAATAGGCAGATTTCTCTGAGTTACCCACTATGATTACTTTCTGATGTTTCTTTTGAACATCTGTTTATGTTGAGGGTTGTTGAAGTGGGTGGACCACCATTTTGACCAGAATAATAATCCTCTGCTTGGATTTAATAGAATACTCTTCTCTGAGAAACTTTGAGAAGACTCCACTTGGATGGTGTAGTTCCATCTGTGACTGCTCTTCCACCTCATTTGATCTCCTTGAGCAGAGTCTTCTGTTTACTTCAAACTGCGAAGTATTGGATCACTGCTTTTAGTAATAAAGTTGCCATTTCCCACTTTGGATTCTACAGAACTCTTGCTTTGAAAGACTGAGCTTGAACAAAATAATTTATCCACCTAATGAGTGCCAAAATTGATTCAGCCTGATGAGGACAAAAGCACTGTAGGGGGAGAAGGGTTTGATTTTGTATTCTGTTATCTGAGGCCTGAAAAACTGTATAGAAAGATTTAAAGCAGATGTAGGAATTGCTGTACAGTCTTCTGTGCTAACCAGCAGGATATATCAGATCAAATAACGATTTTTATTCTTTTCTAGGGAATCAGTAGCCTCTTCAGTTCCTTAAAAGTGGTGCGTCTTCTACGGCTTGGTCGAGTTGCCAGGAAGTTGGACCATTATCTGGAATATGGTGCTGCTGTGCTGGTGCTGTTGGTGTGTGTGTTTGGGCTGGTGGCCCACTGGCTAGCCTGCATATGGTACAGCATCGGGGACTACGAGGTTATAGATGAACTCACCAACACAATCAAAACAGACAGTTGGCTTTACCAGTTGGCCCTGAGCATTGGGACACCATATCGATACAACACCACTGGCTCGGGGCAGTGGGAAGGAGGACCCAGCAAAGACTCCTTGTACATATCCTCTCTCTACTTTACCATGACAAGCCTTACAACGATAGGATTTGGAAACATAGCACCGACCACTGATGGAGAGAAGATTTTTTCCGTGGCCATGATGATGGTTGGCTGTAAGTAGAACTCAATTTTGCTGCTTTTGACCCAAGGGGAGTTCTATGGCTGGCATGAGGGTTGCATAGCACACATGCTGTAAGCTTTCTTGACATCCTAAAAAATCTGAAGGCCCTGCAAATAATCACAAAATGAACTTGGAATTATGGAAGGCAGGAATTGAAATTGTGTAGCTGCTGTAGCTTTTAAGTTGTTTGCAAAACTAAGTGTTCTGGATACATAAGTGTGCCCACAGACAAGTTTATATTGAATTCAGGGCCTCAACTTTTCACTTTAAAGATGGCTTTTGTCACATTTGAAAGGTCTTGGCTAGAATTTGGTTAAAAGTACAAAGTGTATTCAAATTCAGGTAGTCTGACTGAGTTTTGCTTATAAACTTGCACAAGCTTGGAAACATTTCATGTGGTTTTATCCAATTCTTGAAATATTTAGTGATTCCATAAAGTGATTGTGCACTTTATTGTAATGGTTTGAGTTACAAGTCTGAATTTTATCTTCTGAATGTGGTGACCTTTGCCACCAGCAAAGCTAGAAGTGAAGGAAATGATAAGACACTACACTGCACCTTTTCTCTGCTTCCTGCTGTTTCACAGCTCCACTGAAATACTCTAAAATCAATAGTGGTAAGGCACATTTCTCATTTAATGTGCTGCCAAGGTTAGACCACTGAGCATCTCTACAGGTTAATAGAAATCTTCCAAATATAGTGAAGACAGCTTAAAATGTTAATACCATTTGGGAGAATTATTTTTCTGTTAAATAATTCTTGATATTTCTCTGTTACTTTCTGTTTTCTGAGCTCCATACAAACACTAAGCAATTATGTAACAAGAGAGCAAACAAAACCTTTTGATAATAAGATCTGCATAATCTCTCTGATAATTATCTCAGCTAACACTTTGAGCTCATCTCAGAGAAATACTGAACTATAAAAAGGAAGCTTTCTTGCTACAGTCTTTCTAGGTCCTTAGAAGATTAAAGCCATTTGTTTGGAGATTTCGAAGTGCTTTTTAAAGAGAGGTTGCGGTTTTAGGACTCTTCTTGCAGTGTGGTGCAATGAAATTTCTGCCGAACATTGTCTCTACATGATGGGTTGATGTGTTCCAAAACATTTCCAAGTTCATAAAAAGCAAATCCCCAAGGCAGAGCATCAATGAGCTGTTGCAGATAGGTCATCAAAACCCTCTAGGTGCTGTTGTGCCATTTGTTGAAACTGCTTTGTGGTATTTACAGAATTTGGAGACTTGGAGAATGAAGTGAATATAGAGGATTTTATATATATATTGTAATGTTTATGTCCCTTGGGTTTTTTTTGGTGGGGACTTCTGTTGTTCTGCAGAGGAGGGTCCCACAGAAGGAACTCAGTGGTAAATGACTTAGGGTGGGGTGAGAGCCATAAAAACATAATGAATGCTACTACTACTATTTATAATGATAACAACAACAACAAAATACATACATGGCCTCAGTAAGTGACAATGAAGTGGTGATTGTAACCTGCTTTGTATTTGTTCTAGGTATATTTGTTCTTGCTTTTTCATCTCTGAAACATGTTAAAGATGGGGAATACACATTGCAGTATCAAAGCTGGCTTTTACCATAGCCTGTGTATGTGCCACTGTCAGATCTTGAAAGTTTTTATAAGTGCTACATACAAAATTATTAAGTGTCCATGTCAAATTTGTAAGTGGTAACTGTGAGCTTAATAGGTGGAAAACCTTGGGTAGATTTATAGGCTTTTAGACAAAGTCAAAAGTAGATTCTAAAATTTAAGAAGCATGGCAAAAGGACAGTTGAGTTGCTTATTGCATAAAAATAATACCATCAAATGTGATGTGTCTTCTCTTGTGAGTCAGGTGAAGAGCACTGTGGACTGCAAGAAAAGTACAGAGTCTTTAGTTTATTTACCAGTGTGAAAATGCTCAATTATCATCAAATGGTTGAATCTTTTGCAATGACATCAATGCAGATTTGAAGATTCACAATTCATGCACGCTAGTGTGATGACTGCCCCTGAAATCCAGATGATAATACAGAGCAGTTCCTTGATTGGTTGAATACTGGTTAGAAAATACACCAACTCCCAGACATGCACTGGTCATAGGCTTCATACTTGCAATATTCCTGCAAAGAGATCAGACCTGCAGGATTTTATAGACATGCTTTGCAGGGCCAGCTGCTGAAAGCCTGACACTCTGAGCTCCAAAATGAAATAAGAAGGCACAGCAAACAATTAGTCGAAAAGGCAATTTCTCAGGCAATCAAAGTGGCCAGTGAGCCTGGGAGAAGGATTCGGCCCCATGAAAAGGTGTAACTAAGAACTGAAAATTATTTGAGTAGTTTTCAAACCAAGATGTTTTAGTTTCTCTTTTGAAACTGTGTTTTGAGATAAACATTCAGCTAAATTCAATTACAGTTCAATCAATAAAAGTCTCTGCTTCCCAAACAGACTCCTGTTATAAGCAGAGAGAGGCTGTGAAATACCTTTGGTAATTCTCACGAAGAAGTTTGCTAATACCAATAGCTGATATTGGCAGTGCCTTTTCAGACAGACTCTGCCAAATAAATGTCTTAAACTTAGCAGTGGAATCAGAGATAGTAATTCATCACAATCCCAGCTGCCTACTCATGCAAACTGCAGATAGGAAAGGAAATCTTCACTGCCTTGTCAGCGAGAAGCGGCTTGTTCTGAAAGCCCCAAGTTTCCTATTCATGCTGGCAAAGTTATCAGGACCTGGGAGGAGTATTTGGAAAGACTTGCAAATCCTTCTGGTGGGCAGGATTGCAAAGTGGTGTACTTGTTAAAAATAGCCAGGTTCAGATTCTGTAGGTGCTGATAAAGCATCTCTCGGTGTGGGGCAGTGGCGGGGGAAGCCCTGATGAATGGGGATGCTTTTCAGTTTGATTGGCAGTTTGTCATTTCTTTGTTCACTGAGGACAGATTGAGTGGGATATTTAGACTGAAATACATCACCTGTCTTGCAGGAAAAAGAGCTTTGAATAACTTAACCTCATCTTTCAGTGCTTACTTCAGATTTCTTTTTGCCTGACTTGTTTTATCTTGGTGTCCAGTGCTGTTCAGCAATATTTTTTCTGCTGCTTCTTGACACTTGAAAAGCTAAAAATAGCAAACATAAAGCATCCTATGACAAGGGAGCAAGTTTTTACAAGGGTTATTGTTTAAATACCTATTGTGCATTTGCTGCCTAGAGTTGCTGAATATGCATTGAAAATCTGATTTTTGTAGCACCTTTTGTGTTGATCTAGGTCATTTCATCCCCTCTCTATGCAGAGCAGAACAAATAGATAGGTCTCTCAGGTCCTTTGAATGGACGAGGAATCATTTATCATTCAGGAAGGTCCTGTCTGTAAACCTTCCATTATGTTCTGTCAGCTCACAGCCTCCAAACAGAAGCTCAGTCTCTGCTGCTGCATGTTACTCTAGTTCAGTCCACAAGCAGGTTTTAGGCTTCTGCAGCCCATCCATAGATGCAGATGTAAAATTGATAGGGCTTGTGCCTTTCACAGGAAAAATAAAAAAGAAAAGAAGAATTAGTCAAGAGAGAAAACAGAAAGGAACTTTTGGTTCATACACCATTATTACTGTCTTGCAACTCCTCACTACCAGGACTTCAGTGAGCAGAAAGTCAGTAAAAGGCAAAAGGCATTTTGGGAAAGGTGGCAGTATGGCAGGGTGAAACAGCTTGCGGAGTTCAGGAGAGGTGGGGTTTTCTGAAGGAACAAGAGTTCATGTACTGCCATATGCCTCCTTCCTTCCTGTGCTTCCAATGGGAGAAAAGTGACCAGCTTCCCAGTGTCCTGGTTTAGGCTGGGATAGAGATAATTTTCTTCCTAGTAGCTGGTGCAGTGCTGTGTGTTGGCTATAGAATGAGGATAATGTTGATAACACACTGATGTTTTAGTTATTACTGAGCAGTGCTTACTCTGAGTCAAGGACTTTTCAGCTTCTCGTGCTCTGGCAGCGAGGAGACTGGAGGGGCACAAGAAACCATGAGGGGACACAGCTGGGACAGCTGACCCAGACTGGCCAAAGGGACCTTACGCACCATATGGCATCACTTTTTTCTTGTATTCTTTTATCATTAATATAATTCCCCCCTCTTCCTTTTCTGTCCTATTAAACTTTCTTTATCTCAACCCATGAGTTTTACTTTTTCTTCTCATTCTTTCCCCCATCCCACTGGGGGAAGAGTAAGTGAGTAGCTTGTGGGGGTTTTAGCTGCCCACTGGGTTAAAGCACAACACGCAGCTTGCAGCACAGAGGGTCTCTGACACACTCCTGTATGCTTCTGGTGTAACCTGGAGGAATTGATTTGCCTCTGTCCATGTGTAAAAATGAAATTGCTCTGAATGGCATACAGCAGATTGCAAAGTCAGTAAAAAATATGGCACATTTTTATGTGCCATAAATATGGTATTTACATGAGTTTCTTCGTCCAGCTGAGTGAACCCAGCCCAGTGCATACTTCATCCAGGCAACAACAGAAATTCAGTATATTCCACTGAAATACACTGATGATCCTTACTGCGAGGGAAGGTCAGAACATGATATCGAAGGGAAGAGTGTCAATAAACATTGAATACTTCACTGCTTCTCAGGATGTGAAAGACACAGAAAAATCTCTTGGTTACCAATCAATCCCCGGAAGAGCTGAGAAAAGGTGCTTTGTTGTTCGTCCTTTGTTGTTCTTCTTCTTTATCTACATAGGTTGTTACTTTGGCATCTATTTACTCCAGTTTTATGGGGAGGTTTTTGTGGGGGAGATGATATTTTTCAGTGACTGGTTTTAAATTATGGTGAAGACAGACTTAGTAATTCAAATTGGTTTTGCGTATGAGCAGAAGAATTTGTTGTGGTCATTGTACAGGATAGCTTCTCTTGAAAATGTGAGCAATTTCTAGACACTTCTTTCAAAAAATCAGTTTCTAGTTTAATGACTTGAAATGCTGCCTTCTTGTTGACATCTTAAAATACCCA